AGACCTCTCCACTGATTCCCTACTCCGCGCCGGCATGTTGTCTTCACACCTTGGAAAGTCACTTCTATAGCAGGTTTCATCAGCAAAATTCTAGACTGGGAATGTTTGGGGGATTGCTAAGTAGTAACAAAAGAAGGGGAACAGTTAACAAGCCTTCAAGAAATCTAAACTTAAAACCATGAATGACAAAAAACCACGAAGCTGCGCATCTCAAGAAAAGTGAAGTTTACCTAGGGTGGGGGAAGGAAGTGCCAGCTCTGAGGGTAAACTGCTGCTTTCCACACAATCCGCATGCGCATACCACCCTCCACATACCACCCTCCTCTGAGTCACAGTTCCAAAGGGTAAAGACACATATGCGCGTCTGTATCAAACTCCCAGGGAGTTATGAAGCCAGCACTCTCTTCATTCTTCCCATTGCCAATTGAAAACAATGAACTCCAGACTTATCACGGATATTACCAGGGGAAGGTAATTAAAAGGCAGAGGATAATCCAGCTCTTAGACAAAGCAGGAATATAATGAATATGACCTGCTGACTGGAACTGAGACAAGAACATAATTATCAAGGGGGCTACTATAAGAAAAAGGAAGGAAGGAGGAAACGTGAGGGAAATGTGCTTTTGCTGCTTTCTTTAAAAATGACTCAAAAAGAGGCTAGTCATTCGTCACATAGGAAAAGTATCATCAGGAAATACATGATTTCTGTGCAGAAAATTGACATATTCTAAATTTAGTTTAAACCAACAAAAAAACCCCACAATCCTTCCTCATTTTGAACATAGATTCTGAATTAACAAACAGCACAGATAATGCAGCTACTGGAGATGTGCAAAAATTTATAAAGAAATTTTCATCAAGTTTTCAAACTTTTAAGAACTTTTCATAGTATTTACATAGGGAATTTAAGTATGAACTGAGATTATGAAAAAAAGACAACAACATGTATGAGATGAAAACAATAAAGGAGAAAGATTTTATTTAGGACACTTGAGAGAGGAGCTTAAGCCTCCGAAATCTCTTCCGATGGTCCAGGCATGGGGACTTTGATGGCAATGCAGATAGATGTACAGGAAGGAGGTGACATGGGTGAGCCTAGTAGGAGATGAGGCTGAACTGTCTGCACCCTTACTGCTCTGGTGTCCAGCTAATAAATCTACTACCTCTGCTGCAAGTGAACCAACATCATCTAAAATCGCCATCAGGAATTTCCCAAGGGCAAAGTCCTTTCAGGGAAGGAGGGCATATAAAGACAAATACAGATGTCACGAGTAGACAATACATGCAAACATTTATCAAAATCCGTGATTAAATATTTTGGTACAGGGATTTAGTAATGAGAGTTCAAGAAGTAAAACTATCAGCATTATTAATTATGAAGGGCTTTTATATGCCAGAAATCACAGTAAGTAATTTTATATGTATTACTATCATATTTAATCAAGACAACCAGTCTATAATGTACTTACTATCCATGTTTTTCAGTGAGAGAACCACTGCTTATCGAGAAGTGATCTGTCCGAGACACATTGCTGGTGAGTGAAATGGCAGAGGCAGGAAGTGATACCAGATCTGATACCCACACCTGTGCTTTTAAACACTGAGTTAAACAACAATCAAAGCTTATGGAATAATTTAAGCCTAAAATATGATATACTTTGAGATGTGTAAGGGGCAATAAAATAACATGTGTCCAAAATAAAAGAATATGCAAGAACGCCCAAAAGATGGACACATTTCCAGCGACCCCACTTGGCAGGTATATAGGGGAAAAAGCATGTCATTAGGCAGCTTCATTATAAACTGGTGGTGAGTTGGAGAGCATTATATACAATAGAATTTAAAAGTCTACTCAAGAACTATCACTGATAGGCCTCAGCTATAAATACAGGAATTCAATCAAGGGTACCAACTACAATAATAGTAATAACCAGGAAGTTGTTACGTAGATTTATAGGAGTTTGGCACAGACATCAGCTAGGTTCTTTCATGCTAAAGTAGAATATATTCCTTAAGAATAAGGGGGAGTCGAGGCTCATAAAATATTCCCAAATATTCAAGAATAATTCTGCCAATCTGTTAGCTGGTAGGGCTGCCAGGAGCATTACTTTCCTTGGCATTTTACACTGAAAACATGAGGGACCCGAATCTTTTTTCAGGATGTGCTTTTAATCAAGGAGACCAACAGGAGTTAGGTGCACAGGCCTGGCAGATAACCATTCCTGGAGACATTCAAGGCTTGCAGTGGTCTTATTCCCAAGGAAAGGAGGTTTCTCATCATGCTTGGGGCTAAAATCAGAGAAAGCAAAGCCATCCTTAAGAGCACGTGGTACTCACTTCTAAGTTTAGGTCTGCTCATTATGCTAAAAATACCTGGTAGAAAGTACCATGACCAAAGGAACATCCACTGTGGTTCCATGTTTCTGAGATGGAAATTGAGAATTGGCTCTGATGTGAGCCTGGGCTCCCATAATGGATGGGCTACGGGAGAAAAGAGACCTTACTGGAGAACTAGGTTACATGGAAACTAGGAAATTCAGTCTTTCCTACGACTAATACATACTAAAACAACCTAGGAAAACACAAGCTCACAAAGGACAAGCTGCTCTGATCTGAAAGATACACAAGATGCAGAAAGAAACATCACGCTTCCTACATTAAAGAAAAAAGAGCGAGAACTAGAATACACAGAAAACCACTTTGGTTCCAAATTGCTATCAGAAACGACCCGTGCTCCCATCTGACCCTGAGGAAGAGCCAACCTACCATGTGGTAATGTTATGTTTGCACCATCAATGATTGCTTGTGCCAGTTCATGGTCATTGCTCTCAAAAGCATGTGCTGCGGCCTTCAAAGCATCCCAAATCTCTTTGCGGCCTTCAAACGCTGGTGCAGTATCCCAAAATTCATCCCTCTTGCTGCGAAGTTGTCCATCTGTCATGGGGTAATCGCTTTTCCATTTTGGTTTCTCCTTTTTCAAAGGCTGGTTACGACCTAAAGCAACTGAAAAGGGAGAGCGAGAGAGAGAACTGACATCAAAACTAAAATTTACAAACACTCCATTAATACTTATCCCTCTTTTTGATTCTTAATTTCTAGATTCCAAAAATGCCCCAATCTATTATAAAACCACAAAGTATTAGATGGCTGTCCTGATCTCTCAAAGACAAGTTAGATTTTTTCAACCCACTATACTTTATTCAAAAGATGGTTTAAAAAAATTACCTAAAAGAAACAGCAAAAAGCAACAAAGCCCACATGGAAGAAGCACACCAGCCTATGCAACCACGAGGTGTCGAAGGGATCAGGTGTAAGGCATCATCAGAACAAAAAATCT